GGTGTTGTATGGAAACCAAGTTGACAATAAACTATTTAAGGAAAAAAATGTGTAAACATTATCCATTACATCAACAAACTGCAGGAGAAAACCTGGATGGTTGTAATAATAGATGCTGAGAAGCATTTGATAAAATTTGCCAGCAATTTCTAACAACAAATTAAAAAATGAAATGGGAACCAAGTAAAACTTCTCAATTATGATAAGGATGAAACAACATCAATGGCAAAAATCAACTAAAAACTAATGGTAAATATTATTCTAAATGGAAAAACCATTTAAATTAAAATCAGGACCATATAGCATGCCTATTTTACCTTTCATCATTTAACTTGGTCAGGCAAGTTTTTGTGAATGGAAAAACACCAGAAAATAAAATAATTGTTGGAAACATTTAGAGATAAGAAATAAAATCCTATCTTTTGAGTTTATGATATATTTCATACTAAAACACCCATGAAACTGCAGTAAAATTACTACAAATACTAAGAGAATATGGTGAGGTCACTAGATACAGGAGCTATTTATAAAATTGATGTTTCTCTCATTTTCTGTAAAAAAAAGCTTTCATGTCAGATACTGAAAACCCTAAAGTACTTAAGAGTAAATAAAAAAAATAAAACAAAAAAAGCAGTATATCTATGTGAATAAAACTACTGAAATCTTATTTTAAAACATAAAATCAGTCTATTCCCAAAAGTACACATTATTTTTGGATAAAAAGGCTTTCTATCACAAATCTGTTGATTACTCTAAATTAGTATTAAGTTTTAATACCATGCCAATTAGAGTCTTCCATTTTGGGAGGGAGGATTGAGAAAATGATCATAAAACTTACATATACAAGAATAAGAGCCTGAAAAAAATTATGCAAATGTATGAGAAAAAACAGGATATGGATTTGCTTTCCTGGGTACCATTATACCATAAAGTCACTTTAATCATCAATATGGTGTTAGCCTATGAATGGAAAAATAGACTAATGTGATACAAAATAGAGAACTCATAACTATATCCCAACTATATGTGAGAATGTGAAGGCATATTTGAATACATGAAAATTAAAGATTTGTGTTCCAAAATATTCACAAATAAAGTTAATTACCAAAGGTAATATTTTGATAATATTTTATATCAGACAATAAAACATAGATATATTAAAGATTCAAAGATTTCTTATAATTTGATAAAGCAAACAAATATCAAAATGAGCAAAAAGCATAAGTTGTCAATTCAGGGAAAAGCTAATACTAGTGACCACTAAGTATTAAATGATATTTCAATTAATTATCAATTAAAGAAATGGAAATTAAAATCACAGTAAGATAAAATTTTACATGCACTGACTAGCAAAAATTAAACAGAAATATAAAATGGATGGTTAGTAGGTAGGAAAGGAACATAGTATTTTCAGTTTTAACTTGGATATGTGAAAAAAAGTTACAATATTTTTATAAAGCAAGGGACAATATCTATTAAAATTAAACAATTTGAATCTTTTGAACCATCATCCCTACTCTTGGTGACTTTTCTCATAGGGGTTAAATTCCCAAGATGGAAGTACTCATGAATAAGGATAATTCTTGCAACATTATTTGTGTTGGGAAAAAAAAACCAGAAGGAAAAAAACTAGAAATAAAGTAGAAAGTCCTCAAAAAGGTAATAAATGAATCAATTATGTCACATGCATATCATGAAATACTATCCAGTCCTCAAAAAGAATGAATTAGCTACTCTGTTGACTTAAGGAATCTCTACTCACACCCACACACCCAATAAATACAACATAGAATATTAACAAATTATTAATTTTTTGAAAAGATAAACATAACTGACAAAGCTTTAGTGACATTGACCAAGAATACAAGAGAGAACTCTACAATTGTTAATTCAAGGTATAAAAACAACAACTACTGACTATAAACAAATGACAATGGAACCGTATGAATAATAATGTGGCAAAAATTTGGATGAGACAGATGGTTCCTTGTAGGACATAAGTTACCAAAACTGACTCAAAAAGAAATAGAAAACAATAAGCAAATATTTGAACAAACATTTAAAAAATTCCCATTAAAAAGGAGATGGGTTAGAGAAGGCTCTACTAGTAAAATTCTATCAAATACTTAGAGAAATACTTAGAGAAAAATCAACACCTATTCTTTATAAAGTTTTCTATAAAATAGGAGGAAACTTTTTCTTACTCCTTCAATGAGGTCAGTATTACCCTGATACCCAAAGCCAGAAAAAACACAACAATAAAATAAAACCATAAAGCAATATACCAAATGAAAATAACTATAAAAATCTTCAAATACTAACAAACCAAATGATACAACATATAGAAGTGATTATACACCACAACCAAGTGGGATTTATTCCAGGAGTACAAGATTGGTTTAGTATGCAAAAACCAATCAATGTAATTCAACTTATAAAAATAGACAAAAGCCACATGATCCTTTCAATAGCTATAGAAGAAACATTTGACTAAATACAACACTTACTCATGAAAAAAACAGTCAATAAACTAGGGATAAAAGGGAAAGAACATCTATTAAAAAGCCACAGATAGAGGCACCTGGGTAGCTCAGTCAGTTAAGCATCTGACTTTGGCTAGGTCATGATCTTGTAGTTTGTAAGTCTGAGCCCTGCATTGGGCTCTCTGTTGTCAGTACAGAAACTTCTTTGGATTCTCGGATCCTCTGTCCCCCTCTTTCTCTACCCCTCCTCCACTTGTGCTCTCTCTTTTCTCAAAAATAAATAAACATATTTTTTAAGAAACCCATGGTTAACATCATATTTAACAGTGAAAGAATGAAAGTTATTCCTTTTAGATCAGGAATAATATAAGGATATATGTTATTGTTTATTCCACCTTTCACTGGAGGTTCTAGCTAGGGTATTTAGCCAAGGAAGGAAATGAAACAATAGGTATCTATATAGGAAAGCAAGAAGTTAAGCTCTCTCATAGACAAAAAAGATCTGTATATTGAAAAAAATCCCAAGAAAGCCACTAACATATATGTGGATTAATAAGAGATTTCAGCAAAGTTGCAGGAACAATGTCACTATACAAAAATCAATTGCATTTCCATTACATCTGCAATAACCAATCCAAATATTAAATAACAAAATGAATTTACAGTAGCATAGAAAATAATAAAATCTCAAGAAATAAATTTATTGTAATTACAAAATAAACACTGAAAACTAAAACCCACTGTCAAAAGTAAGAAAGACATCCTGTTTTCACATATTGGAAAAGCTAATATTGTTAAGATGGCAATAATTTTTAATTGATCTATAAATACAATATAATCCTTATCAGAATTCCAGATCTCTTTTTTTATGGATTGACAAATCGATCCTAATACGTATATAAAATGAAAGTGACACAGAATGTCCAAAACAATTTTAAATAAGAACAAAGTTCAAGGACTCCTACTCTACAGTTTGAAAACTAACTACAAAGCTATAGTAATTAAGACAGTGTGCTACTCAGCACTTTCAACAATAGCCAAATCATGGAAAAAGCCTAAATGTCCATCAACTGATGAATGGATCAAGAAGATGTAGTTTATCTATACAATGAAATTCTATATGGCAATGAGTGAGAATGAAATCTGGCCATGTGTAGCAACGTGGATGGAACTCGAGCGTGTTATGCTGAGCGAAATAAGTCAGGCAAATAAAAACTTTTAGAAAAGTAAAAAAATACACAGAAACAGCTAAGGGAAAAGGAAGAACTGAGGGGTCGGGGGGGGAGGAGCATGATTTATGAAAAAAATGAGAAAAATAGCAAAGATATAGAAATTATTTTAAATTTGAAACAAATTCTGGAGTTTAATAATGCAGTAAATAAACTGATATTCATTTAGAAGGGGTCAACAGTAGATTTGAAGAGACATATGAAGGAATCAGCAGACTAAAAGGTAGGATGATTGAAATTACTGAGTCTAAGAACCAGAGAGGGGAATTAATGGATTTATACAACTGCGAAAAATAATATATGAATTATGGAAGACCCTGAAAAAGAATAGAGATTTTTTTGAAGAAACAATGGCCAAAGTGTTCCCAAATTTGATGTAACACATGAACCTACAAATCCTGGAAGCCTGACAACACTAAAAGCATAAATCCAAAACCAAACCACATCAAGACACATTATAATCAAAGACATTGTAATCTAATTGTCAAAGCTAAAGACAAAGATAGGATACTGAAAGCAGCAAGAAGTTATTAATCACATAGAAGGGATGATGATTGTGAGTCATTTTTTCATCAGAAATCTCAAAGTTCAGAAGACAATAGAATAATATATCTAAACTGCTAAATGCAACATGGTACAGTCACTTTAGAAGAAATTCTGGCATTTTCTTACAAAATAAAACAAACTCTTACCATTGATCTACCATTAATACTCCTTGGTATTTACCCAAAGTAGTCAGAACTTATGTACACATATAAACCTGCACATGGATGTTTTTAGCAGTTTGGTTCACAATTTTGAAAACTTGGACGCAACCAAGATACCCTTCAGTATAAGTGACTAAATAAACTGTGGTATATCCAGACAATAGAATTTTATTCAGTGCTGAAAAAAAAATGAGCTATTAAGCCAGGAAAAGGATAGCAGCAAAGTTTAAAACATATGCTGTATGTTAAATTAGATGACATTCTGTAAAAGCAAACATTTGGAGACAGCAAAGAAATCAGGCATTGCCAAGCATTAGGGAAATGGGAAGGATAAATAAAAATTACTAAGTAAGAAACTGTTCTAAAGGCAGCAATTATTTTCATTTACACAATTAATATAAAATTAAGAATAAATTTATGGAAATTTTATTTTCAATTTACTGATACTAGTAATTTAAAATACATTAAAGCAGAGAGAAAGCAAAAATTGTCATTGTCATTTGTTAAAAATGTATTCCAACCTTTTTATAACCCTTCATTGCTAATATAAATGGGCATAAAGCAAATTAAAATATACTTACCAAATTTTTTTCAACTACAACATGCATTTCTATATACTGAGAGAACTCTGAGAGTGGCTGAAAAAAATCCACAAACTCTACATCAAAATTAATATTTATCACTACTTCTTGAATTTAATGTTGTAAAATCTCATTTTTATATATAAAAAATAGAACCAGGTAATATAAACAAAACTTGGTATCACTGAATCACTTGCCTTTGTCACATCTTTTGTACCTGATCACATATTTAATTCACTCAAGAAAAACTTTCCTCTAATTCCATTGTCCATATTCTCACTGGTACTGGGCTATTCATGTTATTTTCTCTATTTCTATTTCTCAATTGACTTCCCACTGCAAGATGTATGTGTTTAGTTAGATTAAAATCCTATTATACTTTAGTATGTGGTACTATGTTTTTTCCTATATCCCTAAAACAGTGAGGATACATCTCTGTGTTTAGAGAAATGGGATTTCATTTAAAAGATTAAGTTAATTTTTGTATACTTTACCTAAGGAAAATGTTAGCCAACAGAGAATCAATATAACTAATACTCTTAAATTGGGTCATAGAAATCTCAAGATGTATATCCTGGGTATGATGTGATCCACTTTGATCATAGTAGTTAAATTAGGCATAAATGTGAAGCCTAGTGGTGTTTGAAATCTGCCTTATTTTTATGTGACTCAGATTGTTTCCCAAACATGGGGATAAAATAATAACTGTTATAACTACCACTAATAAAATGTTAATTATTATCATAATTTTTTTATGAAGGAGAAATGCACTGGGTAAAACATGTAAGACAGACATTGCAAGCACTTTAAGACTATAGTGTGGATAACTCAAAATATTTTGTTACTAAAATACTAAAATACATATCGTCTACATGCACAGGAAAATATTTAGAAGTAGCAAAGGAGGAACAAATTTCAGAAATTGAGAAAATGTTATCATGCTTATTTTAGTGTGTGCATTTTTTCTTCTTTACATTGATATTTAATCCCTTGAAAGTTCAAAACCATTTTATTTTCATTAAAATGTTTTCCTTAATGTATAAAAAGGAGAATTAAAGATGGAACAACAAATCTTGTATTTAGCGGAGATCAGAAGAGTGACAGTTACATGGATTTAAAGGAAAAAAAAAGTTGAGAAAAATTAGAAAGACACATTTAGGGATGACTGACTACTCACTTTAAATCTCCCCTCACTATAAAATTCTCTTTCTTGACCCAAATCTTGGATACTTAGGGTTTTATTTTAAAAGTGCATATGAGGGGCTCCTGGGTGACTCAGTCGGTTAAGTGTCCAACTTCGGATCAAGTCATGATCTCACAGTTCATGGGTTCGAGCCCCGTGTCGGGCTCTGTGCTGACAGCTAGCTCAGAGCTTGGAGCCTGTTTCAGATTCCTTGTCTCCCTCTCTCTCTGACCCTCCCCTGTTTATAACAGCTCTCTCGCTCTCTCTCTCTCTCTCTCGGAAATAAATAAAACATTAAAAAAATTTTTTAACTGCATATGGAACCCCCTTATTTGTAACTGGTTTCTTACTATTACTTCTAAATTAAGCACCAAATATTGTATAAAAGTTTTGCTTATAGAACTCTATCATTTTATTAAAGTCCCGAAACAAGAAATGATACTACCTTACTGGAAGATAAAAGTAAACATTTAAATTAATTGAGAGAAATAATACATTAGTGGATTGAGGGATTAAAATCTATTTCTTTGTTTTAAGGAAAATAAGTGTTGCTTAACATTCACTGAAGTAATCCTTGATCATTGTCATCTTTGAGATTGAGATTGGTAAAATTTAGTCAATAAGAATTTATTTACTCATTTATGGAACAATAATAAGCTTGCATGCAGAAAAAGATACATAGACCATTCTAGCCAAATAAAAGTTGAAGACAAATTTGCATAAATTAACGCCAGGAATTGTTATGTGTTGGAAAAGTAGGCAGATAATTTGATTTCAAAAGACCTCTAAAGTTATTTTATTTAATAAGAGAAAATAGCCATATGCAGAGACAAATTGCTTAGTTATGTGTTATATAAAGATGACTCCATCTTCAGGAAAGTTTGCTTTGGTCAAGTAAATACAAAAGAATTGGATCTAAGCAAGAAAATCACATAACACCTCCAGATGATTCAATTGCAACATAGTGAATTTAGAACTCCACCCACTCCAGACACAAATTAAATTATATTGGAGTATATATTAAGATGTAATAAATTAAACAACAAAAGTTTTAAAAGAAATACAGTAATGAATTTTCTAACTCTGGTATGATGGTTAATTTTATCTGTCAACTTGATTGGGCCATAATGTAATGATTTGTAGTTAAATGTTATTCTGGATGCATCTGTGAATGTGATTTTAGATGAGATAAATATTTATTATGGTGGACTTTGAGTAAAGCAGATTACCTTTCATAAAGGGTGGACCTGATTATCACACATCCATACACATATACAGGCATCTTGTTGGTTATGTTTCTCTGAAGAAATATCTGCCCTGAAAGAGACCTTTAACTACTGTATTTGCAGAGCTGAGAGTGTTGAAAACCAAACTCAGAATCTCATTTATATAAATGTATGAATTATAACACAAATTGCATTCCCAATCTTACAGGTTCTACTGTTAAAGTGTGGACATTAATTGGGAAGAAATGAGATCCTGAAATTGGAATAAAGACATATGGAAAGACTCTGATGAAGCTAGGGGTCACTGATCCCTTAAATTCTGATGAGTACTTCTTTGTCAGTAGAAGCAGCCTCTGTATCTCTGTATAAGAAGATCAACCTTGTCTTTCTTGAGGAAAATGTAATTGCCTCTCCTGAGGCCATTGCGTTAAAGGATGCTGTTGATTCTCCTCAGGACTCTAGATATGTATCTTCAATATTTATGTGAATTGCATTTGTGTCAATTATATCAACATTTTGACATAATAAATATGGAGAAAGGAGTGCATTTGCAGACAATAAAGATCTAGATCACAAGGAAACAAGCTACTAACAGTGGAAAACGCCTACATGGAATTCTAGAAAGTTGAATGACTAGTTTTGAGGCTTACCAGATAAGTCGTGGAATTTCTAGTACATCTACCTATAATGTATATTAATATAAATAATTTGTGCATTAGGAAAATATAGTTTATATTGTTGCATAGCAATAATCATAGTTTACTCAGTTAATCACCTACCTCTATACTCTGTATTTTATAGGGCATTTCTCTTGACTCAATTTCCTTCTCAGCATATAAAGAAACACCTTTATTCTTTTGTTTTACTTGATAAATCACATGTTCAAAACCAATTGAAGGTTCCAAGGGCTCAATCCCATAACTCACATTTTCAAACTGTAGTAAGCCCCTACAAATTCCAAAACATACGTAAATAAATAAACTAGTGAATTTTCAAGTCAATAAAATAAATAACAAAATGATACTGTAACAATTTTTTAAATAGTATGTAGATTATTTTGAGTCTTGGCCTTAGATGGTAAAATAGGAAAAAGTTACTAAATATCCACAAACTTACTGAATGGCACAGAACAGTAACATTACTGATATTTATCTAGTAATTAATATTTCATATATGCAAATATCTCAGGAATCTTAATTCAGGATTGGGTAGGAGACAATACAAGAATTTTCGTACTATGCTTTTCTACTGACAGTTTCCCACAATAAGTTATGCTTCACTTAAAATGCCTGAATATAATTTTTAGAATTTAAAAACAATATTATACTTTGTAATCATAAAATTATAAACGCAACCTGAGTCCAGTACATGTGCTAATGGTCACCATAGAATTTGGATAACCTTCAATAATTCCTTGGTAGTAGCAAAAATTCTGAAAAATATAGATAAAATACATAGACCTCTATTAGAATAATTCATGTTAGAGGAACTATTTTCAAATATTTAAAACATATATGTTTATTTGTATGTATCAAATATTCATTGTTTCCAAAACAGATTTATAAGATTATTAAATAAGCAGTTGGCTCAATTGAACAGAAACTTCCCAAGTTCAGAGACACTTCCACAGAGAATTAAGTACACTTCCATATTTTTTCTGTTATAAATTAAACCGAACATTTGCCATCATTAGGATCAAAGTAAAATCATCAAAAATTTATTTTTTCACACTCTTGACTTAATTTTGCAATATAGTGGTAAAAAAAATAAATCCAAAAGAGAACTTTATTCTTTTCAACTTACTTAAGTATAATGGCAGAACAGCTTGCATTAACTCTCTCACTAGTAACAAATATAAACTTCAGAAAAATAATTTTTTAATTCCCTCTACAAAGGCAGGCAGGTAAAGGTGGGAGCAGTGAATCCACACTAGAAAGAAGAAAATGCATTTTCTGATATTTGCATTTGTGTTTTTTTTTTCACCTGAGAGCACTCTCCAAGGCAGGGCAGCATAAAGCAGCTAATGTTCTAACAACAACAACAATGAAAATTACTGACCTGAAAATTGGGATGCGATATATTCAGGAAAGGAGGAGGCAGAGAGTGTGGTCCTAAATCAGTGTGCTAACAGTGTTCTATTAACACCAGTGAAGGTTCTTTACTTCCATCTAAATTGAAACTATCTGAAAAAAATCTCAAGTAGTTTAGCAGAAACTAAGACCAGAAAAACTGAGAAAACTAAGGAGAGATTTCTGTTTCCAAACACGAGAGACTAGAGGCTGGAAACTGGTTCTAGTCAAGTTGTCTGAGACAGTGAGAATTAAGAAAGTCGCAAGCTCCACAATGTATCATTGAATATGGCCAGGGTATGATTTTAAAATATTGTATATATGAGGGGCGCCTGGGTGGCTTAGTCGGTTAAGCGTCCGACTTTCGCTTAGGTCATGATCTCGCAGTTCGTGGGTTCGAGCCCCGCGTCGGGCTCTGTGCTGACCGCCAGCTCAGAGCCTGGAGCCTGACTCCCACTCTCTCTGACCCTCCCCTGCTCTCTCTCTCTCCTAGAAATAAATAAAAATATTAAAAAAATAAATAAATAAAAAAATAAAATATTGTATATATGATTAAAAGAAAAATGTGTCCATAGTTATGAGAAAAATCCAAACTAGAACGGACTCAGAAATAACCCAGGATCTTGAACTTATTTAATAAAGGCATTAAAACAGATATTAAAAGTGTGATCAAGAATATAAAGGAAAATTTGGGCACAATAAGGAAATTCAGCAGAGAAATAGGTTATAAAAATGCCAGGTCTAAATTTTAGAACAAAAAATATGGTTAAAATGAAATATCCTGGGTAGATTTTACTGCACATTGGAGAGACAAAAGAGAAAAGATTTTTAAAAAACATACCTAAAGTATGGACCTGTAGAAAGATAAAATCTGAAAGCTGAGAAAAAAAGGCTTAAAAATTAAATACAGTTGCAGCAACCAGTGGGTCAATGTCTCTAACATATGTTTAATTGGAGTCCCAGAGAAATGAGAAGAAAGAATAGGTAGAAAAATAGTTGAAAAGATGATGGTCAAAGTTTCCCTAAATTCAGTGAAAACCTGCAATTATAGGTGGAGACAGTCGGTATACAAATGGACAAAGGCTGGATCATCTATAAAAATAGAAGTGTGTCACACAACCTTCTGTAATCAGTCCAGGAAATAAACCCCTTGGTTGCCAAGAAATAGACATGAAAGCCAACCTACTGCAAGACTTTGTGGGAAGCCATATTACTGTCTCCCGTAATAATTCAGGAAGCTAAACAATAACTTATGTAACAGTCACCCTCAAATGACCTGGACTTGATTAAAAACTGTCAGCTTTCCTAATTTTTGTCGCTCCTTCCAACTTAGGACCAACCAGAGAAAGTCAAACATGCACTCCTAAACATAAAACATAAAATGCTTCAACACTTCTAGTTAGTTGACCTACAGCTTTCTCATGCCAAGGATCTCCACTCAGGGCATACCTGAGCTCTCCCCTTTTCCCACCATATAAACCTTTCCCACTGTCCTGCCTGCCTTTGAGTGTCTGCCAAAATTCAAATGATGGTAGCTGACTCTCTTAACTATGGCAAGTATGTATGCCATTCAAAGTATGACTACTTTGAGTAAGTAAACTTCACTTATTCTCATTTGTTTGCGTTTTGTTCATTTCCACAAGATCTAAGGAACTCGTTACAGCGAAATAAAGCAAGCCATAGAAACTACTTGTGAAAGTGACTTGAAGTAGACATTATAATTATGTTCAAAGAATTTTTGAAGGAATCCATGATTTAAAAAATAGGAGTATGAGGGCACCTGAGTGGCTCAGTCATTGAGCATCTGACTTTGGCTCAGGTCATGGTCTCACGGTCATGAGTTCAAGCCCCACATCAGGCTGGCTGCTGTTAGCACAGAGCCCATTTCAGAACCCACTTCAGATCCTCAGCCCCTCTCTCTGCCCCTCCTTTGCTTGCATTCTTTCCAAAATAAACTAAACATTTAAAAAATTAAAAATGTAAATATAAAAAAATAGAAATATGATGACAATATCGTATCAAATAGAGATTATCAGTAAAAGATATTGTCAGAAAAGGTAAAAAACAAGACACAACAATAATATATCGACAGGTATTGGGCTTTAAATGCAGAGGTACAAATAGATGGGGAATAATAATGAAAAAGATGTGTCATGCAAATAGCAACTATAAGCAAATCAGAGTGACCATACTAATGTCAGACAAAATAGACTTAAAAACAAAAAGTTGTTACTAGAAATAAAGAAAAACATTTTATAATAATGAAAGTTTCAACGCATCAGGAAGATTATAGCACTTGCAAACATATTTGCATGAAATAACAGAACACCAAAATGCACAAAGCAAAAATAGTTAAAAATGAAGGGAGAAATAGACAATTCAACAATTGTAGTTGGAGATTTCTTTTCTTTTTCTATCCCACTTCCAATAATGGATACAACAACTAGGCAAATCAACAAGGAAATACAAAGCTTGAAAGCACCATAAACTCTCCACTGAACAACAACATAATATACATTCTTCTTATGTACACATAGAATATTTTCTAGGCTAGACCATATGCTAGTCCATAAAAAAATCTCAATTAACTTAAAAGTTTACAAAAATGTAAAATATGCTTTCTAATAACAATAGTATGAAATTAAAAATCATTTGAACAAAAATTTGGGAAAACTAACAAATATGTGGAAATTAAATATCACATTCTTAAATAACTTATATGGGTCAACAAAGAAATAAACACAAACCCAGAGAATACTTTAAAATAAATTAAAATAAAGATACATCAGACTAAAATGTATGGTATGTAGCTAAATTAGAGATAAATTTATATCAATAAATGCATATATTAAGAAAGAAGAAAGATCTCAAATTGATATCCTAACCATACACCTAGGACACTGGAGGAAAAAAACAGTAACTAAACCTAAATCAAACAGAAGAAAGGAAATAATATTACAAAGATTAGAGTGAAATAAAATAAATAAGAATAGATAAAAAATAAAATATATCAATAAAACCAAAAGGTGTTTATCTTTAAAAAGATAAACAAAATGGACAAACCTGTATAACAGCCTTGTTTCTGATACAGAAATGTATTTCTCAGCAAAGTGAAGCAATGTACTTGGATTTAACATATACTTTACCATATAGCTCTATCAGTTGAAAGATGAAAGCAGTTAGTCTAGTTGGAAGATGCACATACGTGCTTTCCATCTCAGTAACTTTTGCTCCAAACCCTTCGCAGGGAATTGGTCCACCAAGGGACATAATAATAGTTCCACTAATTTGGAAGATGAAACTTCCAAATGGCTACATTGAAAGTCTTATGCCACTAAACATAGGCTCATCTAGTGGCTGGAGTGACTGACTCTGAATACCAAACAGAAATTGGTTGCTTTTACCAATGAAAGCAAGAGGGGCTATTTCTTTAACCTTGCAACCAAAAGAAAGTATATTAAAGATGCAGACCCTTTGGGAATAAAGATTTTCTCTTCTCAGCTTTGTAAATATCCTTAGCAAGTTAAGGTTCTGGGTGAAAGCAATCAGAACAGAGAATATTTAGTAGGGGAAAAAAGTCGTAGATAATAATCATGACTTACTAATGAAGACAATAGTGATTTTGTATATTTTCTCTTTGCTTCTTATATGTATGCATATGTGTTTATTTGTATATGCCAACCACATTTTCTTTTTCCTTCTTTCTATTATTAGTTTACCTACAAGTTGTTGGAAGTTAACTTTACAATAGAACCTCTAGTTAACATAGTATTTATTGGGACTGTAACAGAGTTTGAGGAGAAATTAATATAGCTAAGCCATGGACATGATTACGTGTCTCCTCAATTGGGGACAAGGATGAAAATTTCTTTACTTGTAAAAAGGGTGGCTGAATCTTGTTAAATACAAATACAGGTTAATTTATTATTTTACCAGAGTTTAAACGTGTGCAAATGAAATCTGAACAATCAAAGTTGTAGACTTAGTCCATTATTGATGCATTAGCACTCAGCTTCTAGTAAATCTTTTATTGGCTTTGTGCAAATGAATCCAGGCCCATAAATTTTTTTTTTTTTTTTTTTTTTTTACTTTGCCAAATGGTACTAAAGTTTTGCCCAATAGACGGTGTTGGAGAGCACGAGAAGAGAACTTTGTTTCCTGATTCCAGTGGGCCAGTTTGGAAGGCTCTTGAACCGTGTGCAGCTAATTGCACCAGCCCCGAATCCTTCAGTGCGTGATGATTCTTCAGTCCACAGATCTTTTAGTGCATGGTGGTCACAGCCACCCATCAGCCAGTAGTTTCCTCCTACAATTCAGGTCCCTCTCCTTTCGTAGCAGAGTGGCTTTGTGAGATACCCCTTTCCTGACTAGCCTAAACAGATTTCCAGAAAGTTCCTAAGAGAAATTTTACAGCAATATCTCTTAGTACAGCACGATAATGACTTCATGCTATTTGGAGATCCATTTCTGTGCCCCTTCTAACAAGGTTGGGATCTCAACCCTGGGATCATGAGACTGTCTTCTTCATCTCAGTCCTAGCATTGCTGGATGCTTCTTGTAACTGGTATTCCTGTGTTTTAAAGATCTCTTTATTTCTTATATTTTATTCTAGTCCCCATTACAATTGGTAACTCCTTATGTTAAGCTTTCCTTGTTCAAATTATCATATGGTTTCTTTACATTAAGTAAACCTAAACTAAATCAGTGTCATGCCTTATTTTTTAAAAAATATTTCATTGGTATATCACCATAATGAATTACTTTGTATTTTTTATGGTGGGCCCATGTATAGTTTCATCTGTTTGAATCATACTTCATAAGATCAAGATAAAATACCCATATCTTTCCTCTTGCTTTTGTCAACTTCCTTCCAAAAGTGGTTTATATGATTCGGGTTGATAACATTTCTAATTCTTTGGAATAATCAGTAAATTATATTGACCTTATAAATAGGCTAACTGGAAAAAATGTAAATCATTAAATAAAAAATGATTTTCAGTAAGCATAGGATAAAGTTTTCATGGAGGAATCAAAAAGCTCATTATTACTATTACTATTTGATTTCCTTCTTCAGTTTTTCCTGTTTTATCATTGTCATTTCTTGCACTGTTTTCCTCTATTTATATCTTGTTCAATGTTCACTTTGCACTACAAGAATGTATATACTGTTGCTTTTGTGTGTCATCTCTTACAAACATTGATTAAATCAGGTTGATGGCCAGTTCCATTCAAGTTCCAACATATTTCCTTGAGTTTTCTGCTTCATCTATCAATTATTGAGAAAAGAATGTTTAAATAATCAATTATTTTAACAATTTATCTATTTTTCATTTCTGTCCATTTTTGACTCATGTAATTTGAGGTCTGTTTTTAAGTTCATACACATTTAAAATTGTTATTCTCTCCTGGTGATTTTACTTTTATTCATAATGAATATCAATTTGTTCTAGAGAGACTGTAAAGTCCATGACAATGATGAATGGCTTACACTTATAAGTTCTAGACACTGGGAACAAATTCTTTCTATGTCTAATGGACTGATTTGTTCTTTTATGAATAAGTCTGTATTTACCAAGATAATACGACTTTTAGGAATGCAAATCATTTGTAGACTTCATTACAAACAAATTTGCTGGGGCTCCTGGATGGCTCATTTGTTAAGCTTCCAACTCTTGGGTTCATCTCAAGTCATGATCTCAGTTTCATGAGTATGAGTCCTGCAACAAGGCTCTGTGCTGGCAGCTCAGAGCCTGCTTGGGATTCTCCCTCTATCCCTCTCTCTCAGCTCCTGCCCCACTCATGCTGTCTCTGTCTTTCTCAAAATAAAATAAACTTAAAAAAACCAAATTTGCCTACTTTTAATCTAATTTAATAAACTTTCATGATTTTTCCAGCATTGGAAAAGGGCCTGCAACTTTGGCAAATGTAAGTTATCTACATGGCACCATATATTCATTATATTTGAGGCCAACATTAACAACTTACTACATTCAGGTTATCAATAAAGCATTATTTGCTTTGTTTTTTAAATTACACATTTATCTCTCATGGTTACTCCTAGGAAGTAGGAAGCAGAGCTAGATGTTAGGTATGTCCGGTATATACACAAGGTATATGGAGATTTATGTTTTTCGATAGTTTACTGCATAGATGAATCACATATATTTGCCTAATGTATTGAGCAAAATTTAAGGCAACTCACCATATCTATTATTTCTTCTGTTAAAAGCTAGTCTAAATAAAAATGCTTTAATTTCAAAGTATTTGTTGATTCACTACACAGAAATCAGGAAAACAAACAAAAAATCAATAGAAATTGGAGGGCAGTGTAAACGAAGGAAGAAAAACAGCATTTCAGACATGGGTAATATCTGTAATTCTATACATACTTATAATAAATTTTTATGAATTATAAATTGATGATAGAAATTATAAATTATAGAATTATAGACATTATTACATGAAGCTCCAGCAATTGCATTACTAGGTATTTATCCAAAGGATACAAAAACACTAATTCTAAGGGACACATATACCCCAATGTTTATAACAGCACTATCAACAAAGTATGGAAAGAACCCAAATTTCCATCTCTTGATGAATGGGTAAAGATGTGGTGTGTGTGTGTGTGTGTGTAATGGACTATTACTCAGTTATTAAAAGAATGGAGTATTACTTGGCAATCATAAAAAATGAAATTTTGCCATTTGTAACAATGTGGATGAAACTAGAGGATATTATGCTAAGAAAAATTAGTCAGAGAAAGACAAATATCCTATGACTTCACTCATGTGTGGAATTTAAGAACCACAACAGACAAACATAAGGGAAGGGAAATAAAAATAAGATATAAACAAAGAGGCAGACAAACCATAAAAGATTCTTAAATACAGAAAACAAACCGAGGGTTGATGGAGGGGACGTGGATGGGAAATGGGCTAAATGAGTGATGGGCATTAAGGAGGGCACTTGTTGGGATGAGCAATGGATGTTATTTCTAAGTGATGAATCACTAAGTTCTACTCCTGAAATAATTATTACATTATATGTTAACTAACTTGGATTTAAGTAAAATTTTAAAAATAAAATAAATAAGCAAAACCCTGCATTCTTTACTCAGGTTTCACCGGCTCTCTGAGCATGCCACTAGCCCCTTCTCCTTGTCCAACACTTACTTCTGTTTCATTATAATGTTAAAGTCTCCACCCTAGGGGGAACACAACCTTCATTAACATAGCATAAAGGGATTGTATAAGGCATGTTTTCTCAGGACACCTGCACAACCTTATGCCTGACTTTACATGTGATGGCAAAGCTCCTCTTTCTGACTATTCACCTTAAATCCTAAATAAAAAGAAACTGCTCACTCCTGCTTGGGCTTTGGAAGCTATTCCCTGTGATCTTATTTGTTACAAATAAAGTTTGCCTTTTGTGACCTCACCACCTGGTATAGTCTCTTTCTGTAACTCACCAAGGAGCAAACTCATACTGGTTCAGCTACGGCATCATCAAATGAAAATGGTTAAATTTATTTTAAAACAAAACATAACTCCAACCCTTTGTCTTCTGACATGTGAACCCTAAGTCAGGTGATGATAGAAAGTAACATAAGAAAAGTAAACAGACGGTAGAAGTCATACCTGAAACTGTTGTTCAAGAGGCTTCATACTTCCTGTGCCATTATAACCATAAACTCTAAAATTAGGAGGTAAAAAAGCCCTGTAAGATAAAGATATAAAGTATTTAGTGGAAACTTTGTTTCCTAAGCTCCTATTTTGATATGTATTCTATTGCATTTATTATAGAAAGGTGGGTAAACAGAGTCAGGAGAGAAATAGAGATTCCTGAATACATGGACTTTGTTCTAATTTTACTCAAAAATCCTGGTGTCCAGACCTCTCCTTAATCACCTTACTGTCACACTGTCCTTCTAGGATGTTTTTTTAAAACACAATAGGCAAACTTTGTCTCAGGTTATTTGTACTAGTTGTTACCCCTCCCTGGGATATTCTTCAATATAGCTCTTTGTCTCATCTATTTCAGGTGTTTGCTTACATATCTATTTCTCAGTGAGGTTTATGTTGGCAAATTTATTTCTTAAATGCACTTTCCTAGCTATCAAAACATAGGATTTCCAAACAATACTTCTAACTTTGCTCTTTATTTTTGCTTACACATTTATCACCTTCTAACATTATTCCTAATCCACTCATTTATTATATCATTATTAGTCTCATTTGATAACAATATAAGCAGATTCTTGTCAATTTGGTTTACTAGTGCATCTGAAGCACTTAGGAGAATATCTGTAAAATAGCAAATGGTCAATAAATATTGAACTAATGTGACAAGAGTTCAACAGATTAGATGGAGATCTCAAATTATAATATATTATTTGTAAATGTGGGAAGAATAGGTTTAATTAAAAGGCTCTATAGAGAGAAATGGTAAATGTAGATGTCCCATTTTCATTTTCCTAATAAGCATAATATAAAAAGATTTGTGATTGCCATGGCAGTCTGGATTTGTTGAAGAAAAAGTTCAAAGAGCCAAACCACTGACAATAGAGCAAAAGTTTTTGCATTTTTGTCATACTGAAAAAGAATATGACCCACAGTGGGGTGGGGTTCCAGGAAATACACAAATTCTGAGCTGAAGTTCTCATAAGGAGATTTAGGTTGTGATACACAAGTGGCATTTTGACAAAGAAAAAATAAAAAGGCTACCTGTCCATGTTAGGTAAAGGAGAAAGCTACTGGGATGTCTAGAAACAGGTAGAACCCTGGTGTCATGTATGTCTGGAATGAAAGTCCCTAGCTTTAGAGGTGTATCAAATACAGAGCTTCTCTCCTGTAAAATCTTTAGCCAACGTTTAAAATTGTGTGGAGTGGTCAACGTTTCTGAAAATAAAAGCAAATATATATTGTTTATATTGATGATACAGAATCAATAAGTTCTATTTAAGTCCATGATAAAAGCAAAGAAAAATCATATCTGATGTTTTTAAAGACTAGTGAGAGACAAAATAAAACCTTCAGGGTATTAAGATGAAAAAGAAAAAAAAAGATATTACCTTCAAAGAAACAGCAATAAGATTGACAATCAACTTGTCAATAAAATGAAGAAAGTCAGAAGACAACAGAATGATGATTTTAAAAGGCTAAAGTCATTTATAAAATGTCATCCTAGAATTTATTCTAGCAAAAACGTTAAGAGTAGGGTTAGGTAAAAATTTAACAATGAAACAAACCAATATATTTAAAAACAAGCAGACCTGCAGCAGAAATATGGAGAATTCCTGAGAGATATAGAAATTAAGTGCAAATAGAAATGGAAATGTAGAAATAAATGGAGAGCACCAGAATGAGTAAATTTGTACTTAAATATAAAAGAATATTGACTGTAAAAAAAAATAATAGTAACATCTCATTGGGGCTTAAAAGTATGAAGGATTATAATGTCTGAAAAAATAATGAAAACATAGAAGAAGGCAAGTGGAATTGAGATTTTTAATGATCTGATAATACAGGGCAACTGATGAAAGCAATAATGCATATTAGATTCAATAACTCAGAGATTAATAAGTTAATCTAGAGAAACTACTGAACAAATAGAAAAAGGATGTATAACAAAGAATTTAATTGAGGGGAAATGGTATAATATAAAATGGTAGGTTCATTAAAATGAACACAAAAAAATAAAGAATATAAGATAAAATGCACCAAAGAAATGCACTGGTCTGTGACCAGTGGGATCAAAGTGACCCAACAGTTAACTTGAGCCTTGGATTTCATGAGAATGAGATATCTTGTTCATATTTTGTTGTTGTCAGTTATTTAGAGTCAAACCACCTTCTTCTGTGAAACTATGGGGCCTCCCGAATATTGTTCTAGTTTTCTTCTTCCTACTGTTGCAGTGCAGTGTATCTTTTCTGAAATAAATGTGAATTTTATAGTGATAAATCTTTTTTTGAATCCTTTCAGTCATACAACAAACTGTAATTTCTACACAGACAATCTTAAAATTTGGACATAAAATAATTCTAAATAAAATATTAATGAATGCAGTTGATTAAGTAATATGTTAAAACCCAGTAAGATTTATTCCTGGAATAAGGATCAATTTCATATTAGAAAGCCAATTACAATAATTAAAACAAAAAAATGATCATCAACAGATGTAGAATTGATCAATTTAACATCCATTAACAATGGAAACAACAAAGAATGAAGTGAATGTCTTTATGACTGAAAATATCATTTTTAATGATGAACACTGAAATAGTTCTATTTGACTTAGTGAACAAGGTAATAAGGTACTCTGCCTCAACTTCTATTTATTATCATATTATTCTGGTGGTTCCTTGCACCCAGCAGAAAACTAGGAAAATAAATAAAACTCCTATGCATTAGAAATAAAGAAACAAAACTGCCTTTATTAGATGATGATGATAGAGTTATAAATGTATCTAAAAACAGATTAATTTTTTTGAACTCTCCAGAGAATTTCCTGGAGAGTAAGCTTCCTGATAGATATTTACTATATAAGAATTGATTGTGTTCCCATACACAAGTAACACATTTAGAATATAAAGCTTTTCAAATGTGAGTTTTTCAATAGCCTCAAAAATATGAAATACTTAAAAAGAAAATATATAAATAACTGTGAAAAATCTTGAAGGAGAATGTCATAAAAATATATTAAGTAGTATTAAAATCTGAATAAAAGGACAGATATACCATGTCATACACAGAGAAATACTTCTGTGTTGTTGTTTTTTGGGGGGGGCAGGGTTGGTATTGTATCATAAAATGATGAGTTCTTCCAAAAGTGCTGTGTTGATTTAAAGAAGTCGCAATCAATATCCCGGGATATTTCTTTGTGGAAGAATTGATTCTAAAATATACGAAAATAAGTACTAAGAAAAATCAGACCTTAACTTTAAGCTATCAAGATTTATTACAAAGACATAAATTGACCAAAAATTTTAATACAGAGTTCAGTAATACATATATCCTTATATATGGAATATATACAGCAGTCATCACAGATATATATAGAAAGAAGAGTTAGTAAAATTGATATTAAAAGTCATACCAAAAACTAAGTTACTCATCTACCTCACAGCATGCTCTAAAGCCAATTTCTTATAGAATAAAGACATAAATATAAAAGGCAAAACTAAGAATATTTTAGGACTGTGTAACATTTACTCATGGTCTTGGTGTAAAGGAGGATTTTTTCTACAAGATAAAACTATAATTTTCATAAAGGAAAAATTCTCTTTACTAAAATACCATAAGTGTGGAAACAGAAGGCATAGAGTAGGAGGAGTTATTTGGAAAACACACCATGAACTAAAGACTTCTGGCCAAAAAAATTAAAAGAATTCCTAAAAATAGGAAACAAAAGGTCAGATTGAAGATGTCTTTTTTAAAAGTGTAAATGTTGATATCTAGGCAAGATGGCGGAGAAGTAGGGAGCTCCGTACCTGCACTCGTGCCCAGGTATCACATGGAAAAGATCTGAAGCCATCAGAAACCGTACCACACCCAAGAGATTGGGAGAGAAAGGACGCAGACTCCACTGAGAAAGCCTTCTAACGGCTACCTCAAGAAACAAGCCAGAGTACACAGGGTGGAGAGTCCCAAATATCACTACAAATAGGAAAATAAAATAACCAAGGTCCCAACAAGAGAGACCAAGAGATACCATTCAAAAAACACTCTCTGAAAGGATAGGCCCTGGACAGTCAAAGAGTCTTCTTGGATATAGCAGTGCTCATAGAAACAGAGAGCATAACAGGTCTTTAAAACCAACAAGAGCC